ACGTCATCGTTTCGAATCTGATGATCGAAAAACGCGAAGTGAGAATGTGTCTCGGTGTCGTCGTTCCGTAGCATCGGATGGGCGTTGCGTTTATTTCAGCTCCCGCGGCATGACGTCTCAATCCGGGTTACGGGTAGTGGAATTTCCGCTTACGTAAGTTCCGGTAACATGTAATATCGTAGTCAAAATGTTAATGCACAGGCTTTTGTTCCGGGTGAAGGATATTCCTTTTCATAGAATTCCGGGGATGGGAATATTTACTGTGTATATATATATATATATTTATATTAAAACTGTATTTTGTTTTCTTTTTTTGGAAATATTTTCAATTAAATAAATTGAATGAATTATTTCCGTGGTTTATAGTTACTGGACTGCTTCGATATTCGCACCTGTGCCACTACTTTTCCAAGTGCATTGTAGGTAATATTGATACATTTTTCCTCCCTGGACCTTTGGACACCCCTTCAAAATAGCATATCCCCCCTTATTAGTGCGCAACATTTGGACTCAGCCATAAGCTAAGGAGAAGGCCAAAGTACCTTGGAAAGCCTGAGCAAGCACAGGGAGAACATGCAAACACACAAAAAGGTTCCTTTTGTGTTTAAACAATGATAAATACAGTACAATGAAACTATTTCAGCATATGCAGTGAGTCTCACCTTTTGATAGCAGAACAATTGAGAGTCCAATGAGTGAAAGCACCACCAGAATGACAAGGAGGGAGATACCGATGCCCTTCCAGTTCCTATCTGTTACAATAGGCCCAGTGTCCTAAAAAAGAAGAATACTATGAAAAACACAATTTAACATCAGGATGCACCCAAAATTCCGTCACTGAAATTTTAAGCCAAAACAGGATGTGATAATGCAAGCAAAAAACTTAAAAAGCAAATCCTCTGGTATTGCTAACCGATGTGCAACCTGCCTTATTGGTTAGCCGTGAAAACTGCAAACTACGGGGCACTTGCCTTGGAGCTCTGGTTTAGATCAGGAACATTGCCGTAAAATAAAAATATTTGCCCTCATGTCAAATTCTCAGTTCAATTGCATAGTTGCCACACTGACAATCGGAGATTCGACCTGTCGATGGACCCTCCTCTCCAGGCAGTGACTCCTTTACAGCCACAGCAACGATCAGCCATCGTAACAATGGAGACACGGATCATGGTGCACTCCGACTCAATTGCCCCTGCCTCCCCCGAGACATGGCCGAAGTTCTGCCAGAGGTGGGAGTGGAAACTGTTTTTGACATGGGAGTCTGCCATCCGTTCTCAGAAAACCCTTACAATTCATTTAGGTCTGGCAGTTCGGACCAGTATCTTCCCCCACCATTGGAAGCAACACACCACCTGGTGATAATCGAATGACAGCCCTGCTCCTCTTTTCAAAGGCGGCATGGCTCAGTGGTAGAGTGGTTGTCTCCCAACCCATAGGTTGGAGGTTCATTGTGATCTTGTCGAAGTGTCCTTGAGCAAGATACTGAACCCCTAGTTGCTCCTGATGATGCGTCATCAGTAGGTAAATGAGGAATAGTGTAAAGCAGTTTGAGCACCAAAGGTAGAAAAGCGCGATATACAGTAAGTTACTGCCCATTTACCATGAAACCATTCAACCAAGTGTCAAAATCATGTGGCCGCAAATACCATTGTATTTGCGGCCACATGATTTGGACGACGACACAGCCATGCCATCAATGGAGGGGGTCCTGGTGCCAACTACAAATATGGACACCCTGATGTTTGAACATGATGTTCATATTGCACAATCCGTGATGAGCACAGAACTCTAGTAACAGAACATTGCTCAGGTTCAGATCGGTGGGGCCATTCTTCCCATTCACATCCTTCTGTTCTCACTGTCAAAGCCCACGTGAGCATTGAAGTCCCTCAGCAGCATGATGGTGTACACAGCGGCAGTGCTCCCTAACACACCCTCCAAGGACACCAAAAAGGGTGAGTCCTCTGAACTGCTCTTTGGTTCAAATCACAAACAACAGCCAGGAACCATCCCCCACCCAAAGGCGGAGGGAGGCTACCCTCTC